TATACAGAAACGTACCTGGGGTACGTATCTGTAGTACCTGTGCCGACAACGACCCCTTCAGCCTTACTAACCCTTCGACTACGTGGGATACAAGGGTCAAAGGAAATACCTCCATGTGTGCCGCTACATTAGTTTGTTGCTTAAAGGTCACATGCAACGTAAAACACAACTTTGCAGATTCTGATACCTTTCGGTATGGACATACCAAAACAAATCATCAAAAATGCAAATTCAACTTATAACGTTGAAAAATAACGCGATGAAAAAAACCGCGCGAAATCGGAGTTCAAACGATTCACTAATTTTCCCCCGACTTTTCGGGGGAAAACGGGTTTCAACAGCTGGGCTGCGCTCATAGCACGTGCGCAGTGAAATAGGTTCGCGCAACTTGGAAGCGGGCTGTCCGGTGAATACTCGGTGAAGGCTTTGGTGTGAGCTATTTTCCTAATGTTTTGTTGATATCTCACAGGCGCGAGCTTTTTATATGTTATGACAGTAAATAAACTGTTTATATAATTTCATTTGTCTATTTCACCACACGTTCTTCTTACCGAGTCACTTTCTCAGTTCGATACTTAAAAGCAATGTCATTATTTAGCGTTGACAGAATTTCTAACTGTGATATAGATATGTCGTTGTCACAGACAAAACTCAATGTCTTGTTTTATTGACACCTGTGTGTCTGCCTGCCTGTCTGCTAATGACAATATTCAATACACAACTGCGATCGCTGACCACATGCAATTTGAACTTAACACCAATCAGTCTATACACCATAAACAAAATGCATTGATTTATGGCCTGAGTTCGGTCTCTGTCACATTATGTAATTACACAGACAGGCAGGTGTGATACTTGAACACATGACATGTTATGATGTCTGTTGATTGCAAAATGTTATACGCAAAAAATGAGCATGTATTTACAAAACCAAACATCTCTATATAAACACACACAATGAGCCGTGAGGGCATCTGCAAATGAACCAGCCGTTACACTTGAGTGCACACCCACCCGCTCTGACTGGGTTCGGTATCCCGGCTGCTTCGTTTCTTGGGAAGTAAACCCAAGTACGCAATATTGCACTTTTGATTTGCGATTGTACGCTTATAATTTTGTTTATATGTTTTTTCATAACCAGCAATGTATATTATATGTCATGAATAAGTGATAATTGTGTTTTAATTATGTTTGATTTTTTGGTTGCATGTGACCTTTAACAACAGTCCTGGACCAGACAACCCAGTGATCAAACACCATGATCATCGATCTACGTAAATGAGATACCGTGACATGTGTCGAGTCTGGACCAGACAATCCAGTGATCAAACACCATGATCATCGATCTACGTAAATGAGATACCGTGACATGTGTCGAGTCTGGACCAGACAATCCAGTGATCAAACACCATGATCATCGATCTACGTAAATGAGATACCGTGACATGTGTCGAGTCTGGACCAGACAATCCAGTGATCAAACACCATGATCATCGATCTACGTAAATGAGATACGATGACATGTGTCGAGTCTGGACCAGGCAATCCAGTGATCAAACACCATGATCATCGATCTACGTAAATGAGATACGGTGACATGTGTCGAGTCTGGACCAGACAATCCAGTGATCAAACATCATGACTCTATGAGCATCGATCTACGCAATTGGGATACGATGACGTGTCAACCAAGACAGCAAGCCTGACCACCTGATCCCGTTAGTCGCCTCTTACGACAAGCATGGCTTACTGAAGGCCAATTTTAACCTGGATCTTCACGGGTCTAAGCAGCTACGTATTGAGTAGATCAGCTGCTTCCATGAACTGCATCGCATGTACTATGATGGATCTGATCAGACGCGGATAAAACTCGCCAGCGCAGGCTCAGCAGCTGTGAAAGGTTCTCTCCAACATTATGAACTTTTCGGGGCTGTGACATTCCTCTCCATCTTGAGTCACCAGATATCTGCTGGTTAAAGACCATCATCGGATATGTTGCCTTCTGTGAGCCGCGACTGACATTTCTCATTATCTTGAGCCATCCGATAAGGTAGAAGCCATTAAACAGTGCATATACTGCCGGGCCATTATAGAGGTCGACGATAGTGAGGAGCCATTAGATACTGCCAAGACTGGAGCCATTAGTTGACAAGTAGACTTGCACAAGTCTCTAAAGTAAAAATTAACAGTTTACTTGTAAATGATAATTTCTAAATAACAGACTGTACTGTCCGCTTATCTTGATTTGTTTCTTCGAAGGATAGAATTACTATGCTTCCATGGGCTGAGCATTTAGTACAGCCTTGGAGCAAGGGTATTGGGCAAGGTGCCAAGAGCCATTAGCAGCATCTCTTATATCATGGAGCCATCAGATAAGTAGCCCTTATAAGTAGCCCTTATACGTAGCCCTTATACGTAGCCCTAATGCGTGTGGTCTTTGTCCTTCGTCCCCTAGTATTTCTTAAAGCCCAGGAAGTCTTCAGGAAGCCATGTTTGTCATAAATGTGACTAAAGGGATGAAGTGTTCGGGCTGACTGGCTTATCTCACTTGTGTAGATGATGTCAATCATTGAATTTTCCGGAGTCCGGAGTCCTGAGTTCTTTCAGGATAGCCATTATATAACTGGATATTATGAACAAGAAACAAACAAATACACAAACAAAACACATTTGTTGCAAATTATGTAAAATAATGGGTCTATTCTAAATCGACAATGTCATTCATTTGCATCTCATCAATGCCATACGTCTGCAGGGGCGGCGGGGGTAGCCTAGTGATTAAAGCGTTGGCTCGTCACGCCGAAGACCTGGGTTCGACTCCCCACATGGGTACAATGTGAAACCCATTCCTGGTGTCCCCCGCTATGATACTGCGGGAAATTAGGTAAAAGCGGCATAAAACTAAACTCACTCACTCATACCCCTGCTACATGACAGAGTTGTGGAATGAAACACTTCACTGATTCCAGACAGAAGAATGAACCAGTGAGATATGGATCCCAGTCCAACTGACTGTCAAACTTGACCCGACAGCGTGTGTCGCTTCCAGATGCACTCTTGACTGCGTTCATACAAAGCCCAACTGGGGTGACTCAATGTCTGACCTGCAAACACTTTCGTCCATTACCCTTTTCCAGAAATATCACATATCCAGTAGACCCCGCGCTTCATTAAAAATTAGAACTAAAACACAACGAAATTCAACAATGCATTCTACCTTTTCAAAAACGCACTTTGCTAGGAATATTCATGACGTAAACCCATTCCCCCTTACAATAGGACAATTGCATCACATCCGTGACCTCAACAACATACACCGCTTCTCGTCGTTGTTGTTGCCTGCTTACAGCACAGGTGCGCCAGTGTAAGATCCATTCACTGAAACGCATACCGGTTTGGGTGTGACTGACACAACAATACTACATTACGTCAGCAAAACAAAATGCATCCTGGGTAAATCTTTAATAACGTCAGCACAACATGGCACGGTAAATAAAATCGAATTACGCAACAACTCTTCTGAACTGTCTCTCCATTTTCGAAATATTCCCAGTGACCCAGCTGTCTCTATAATGTAGTATGATGTGTTAGTTCTGTACATACGGATACACAGCTAAATTAGGTTTATGTCCTATGTTTGTTTGTTTGTTTGTTTGTTGAACGCCGCTCTCAGTAATGGGTCTGTCTGTAAAAAATCGAGTCCTGTGTAACAACCAAAACCACATAAAGCTAACTGCAAATGTATCAACTTAAGTCACACGCCAGGTAATTAATTTAGTTAATTAAGTTTAATTAAAATTTTATAGTTATTTACTGAGCTATTAACTTGTGAGTGTCTCTCATATGTCATTTATGTAACACATCAACATCTTTACTCAGTCTTTAATACACACGTAAGTACATGTATTGATCTGTGTGAGTGATTACTGTGTGTTGTTGGACACAGTATTGAAATATGTTTTTTTTATCTTGATGAGCAAAACATTTAACTTAACATTTAATTTTTGGAACGTTAATATCGAAGTCATGTCAATTACCGTTAAAACATGCTTGCGGGTGAAACGGGAATATAAAGACCTTTTTTGTATTCAGCATTGCATTCAGCAACATCATTTAATAAATAGATACATTTTAAATAAATAAAAAGTGTTATCGTTAAGTTTTTGAGAAATTACTCATTTTGGCGAGGTCATTTAGATGTAGTTAAGCTGGGTACGTACAACTATTGAGTTTCAGTTATGATTTAAGATTCTTGACATATGTGAATTTAATCACCTTGTTTACAAACACACCAGAATCCTGGATAACCTGGATAAAGGCGGGCCTAAGATACTGTCAGTGAAGTTTACTAGTCCTCACTGAATATACTATCCATTAAGTATTTTTACATCACATCTAAATATGAAGATGTTGTTATCTACATAGTATCTTGCCTTAACGGACACGTATATAAATTCATATAAGATCAAAGAACAACACGCAGTTGTCTTCGGAAACTCTGTATAACATTTGTTAGGCAAGACATCGACTCGCACTGAACTCTGAAGGTATGTTTGTCCCGTGCCAACTCCGCTCCCTCGCTATAGCGCTATGCTACCAGGGCTCGTTCAGCTGGCGCCAGGTTCAGCCCAGAATTGGAGATAATGAGACAAGCTGTCTATATGGTAAATAGCAAGATTGGGATTCCAGGCTAAATTCCACATCAGAATAACGTCCACCCAAGATACTGTTAATGTTCAGTTGTCCATACACTGGAGTATACTATCTTTTACAAAATATTTACAAGTGGTTACTTCTAAATACTCATAAAAGCCTTAGTATTAGGAGCTAGACAATTATCCTATTATCTTCAAACCTTCTGTGTAAAGTTTGCCAGAGAAGGAATAAACACAAACTAAACACATACAAAAACAACGTATTCCGATGAAATCTATTACAATTGTTGGTATAACAGGTTCCCAGGATCTAAATAAGCTAAGCAGCAACGTTCGTGAACTTACCAGAGCTCATGCTTTTCGATTAAATCCGAGTCGCCGTGGAATGTAGGAGCCCTGAAACAGATGGCTTCTGGGGGTACAGGCAGGCGTACTGTGATAGCGGATCAAGGCCGACTCGGCTATTTACGCGATGCTGGTTCGGCTGTTTACGTCTGTCGACGTACGGGCTGTATTGCGCAAGGTCAGAGGAAGCCCCGCCTTCTGATGCACTCAGCCGCGTCTTTATCCGATTCTCCTTACACTGTTGTAGGCATACCTCTCACTGTATGGTTAGCGCGGTAAGGTCTTGTAGAGGAGCTTTACGCCGTTCAACATTGTGAAATACCAAACGGGCCATCCTACAGGTGTTTCTGAGAAGAGACAAGCGTGAATTTCCACTTGTCATACGGATGTATTCGTGATTAAAGAAAAAGATGCCTATGGCAAAACGTAGTTATTTTTGACTGAATGATTTAGCTGGGGGTTTTTTCAGTTCGAGGACTAGATAGAGATATGTCCCAATCATTATGTCAATACAAAACGTGTAAGGCTGGATTTACACTACGTCCGATTTTCTCTGCGTTGCGTCATGCGTTGCGTCCGAAAAAACGCAAGCAATACATTTTCCATTTAGACAATACACTAGGTGCGAATTTTGCATGCGTTGCGATCCGAAGCGATTTAGATAAGTAGCCCTCCTATTTTTGACGCAACGCAAATGAACTCGCATGAGGAATTCCCCTGATGACGTCATTCCAATAAGGTATTTCCCTAACAGGTTGACAATCAGGTAAGGTTATTTCCTCATCTTACGATAAAAACACGCGATTCCAATTGCAGACAGGCTGTGTTTTTTATGAGATATTATTTATAATGTGTTTCTGCGCCTGTCTGTGCATAACATATACAATAATATGACAAACCTTTGATAAAGTTCATTCTCAGAACAAGCTACTTCAAGATGCTTCTAAAAGTCTTATGGAAAATATAATTGCCCAGATATTTCATGAGGCTCAATTTGGTTCACGTCAACAGAACCCTCAGAACTATGTTCCCCTGGGAAATCAGTACTGCTCAAATTCTATATATGTGGAATTTGTAATGCCTGAGTGTATGAGAGAACAATGTTGGTATGAAAGTAAATATTTTCTACATACTTTTAGTTCAATATTTCGAAAACACATAAAAGATTGATGTTATTTAATTCCCTAATAATTCCCTTATAAGACGATTATAGGCTCCTTCAAGTAATCTTTGTTGGTTTAAGGGATGTACCCACCATCTCCGTGTTTTGTTCTCTTCCTCATGCACAGAAACTGCCAGAGATGCTAGGAGTTTTCCTCCATCTTATATTCATCCGTCTTATATCGCAGATGATCGCACCTAGTGTATTGGAAAAAACGCACTCGGTAACGCATGCGTCAAAAAATGCGGACGTAGTGTAAATCCAGCCTAATCATATTTTTTCAAATCGGCAAACACGGGTCATAATTCATTCTGTCTACTCGATCCAAAAATGACATATTATCATTAACTCCACGATGTATACCCAACCATCCCCATACACACACCCTACCCCAGCACACACTCTCTCTGTGAACATTCTCTCCTTCATATAAATATCGGGGCGGTGGGGTAGCCTAGTGGTTAGGGCGTTCGCTCGTCACGCCGAGGACCCGGGTTCGATTCCTCACATGGGCTCAATGTGTGAAGCCCATTTCTGGTGTCCCCCGCCGTGATATTGCTGGAATATTGCTAAATGCGGCGTAAAACTAAACTCACTCACTCATATAAATATCAAGGAGAGAATGTCCACATAGAGAGAGAGAGAGAGTATGAGAGAGAGTATGCATGTGTGGAACTGTCTCTACTCCTCCCCTCTCCTTTGTCTCTCACTTAGACCGTCGCATTATTCTCCCCTCTACCCAGCACGTTCTGACCAATGCTTAACCCTATAGTCTGTTTGCAGTGAAAACGTACCGATGAATTTCACTTTAAACAAAAAAGTAAATCAAGTTAAGTGAAATTAAGATTGCGAATCCTCATAATTTTACTTGGTTGACAAATGTCATCGGTTCCCAATTGCGCAGATCGATGCTCATGCTGTTGATCACTGGATCGTCTGGTCCAGACTCGATTATTTACAGACTGCAGCCATATAGCTGAAATATTTCTGAGTGCGGAGTAAAACTCACTCACTCACTCACTTACTCACTCACTCACCGTGGAGGTATACTATCTGCCAAACCACCGTGTGCATGTAAGTGGAACTCTCATAACCAGGTTCTTTTATACATAAATGATTCTGAAAGACTAAATAGCGCTGTCGGATCTTTTCCTCAACAACAACGTACTTATTGCAATGTGAACCCTCCCCCTGCCTCCCCCTCCCCACCCCCACACACCACACCTCTCTCGGGTAGGCCGGGTAGACACGCACAGATACGTGATTTACAGGCATGGTGGCAGGTTGTAAGTGTACACCGCAGGGTTCACTCTGTCTATTCCATAAGCGGGCGGTGGGGTAGCCTAGTGGTTAAAGCGTCCGCTCGTCACGCCGAAGACTCGGGCTCGATTCCCCAAATGGGTACAATGTGTGATGCCTATTTCTGGTGTCCCCCGAAATAATATTGGAATATTGCTAAAAGCGGTGTAAAACCCAACTCACTCACTCACTCACTTACTCACTGTTCCATAGCCGTTAACGACGATGTCTTTATGCGGAGTTACGACATCATGTGTTTGGCTTAAATGCAATGGAACCAAAACAATTAACAGGGCAATAATGGTCTGACGTTCAATTGCGAGAACGTGATGGATGCAGGCAGTAAGTCCCGATCTTCAACACTGATTTAAATACTGGATGTGGCCAGCTGGCTAACTAATGGCTCTCTGTCACGAACATGCAGCTTGACAGTTTCGATTATAAAAATGGTATGTCGTTTTTATTCACAGGGATTTTCGCCAGACAGTATCTTTTTGTTAAGTCAAACATACGCATATATCTCTGTCACGTCATACAGACGCGACCGCCTCCGTGGTGTAGTGGTTAAAGCGTCCGCCCGGAGAGCGGAAGGTCGCGGGTTCGATCCCCGACCGCGTCATACCAAAAGATTTGGTACTTGTTGGCCCCGGCCTGGCGCTCGGCATTAATGGGTACAACAAGGACTGGTCGGCCCGGAGTCAGTATACTGTGTCTGAGTGGGGTATTCATGCTTCACTGCGTCATGGTATCTCAGTGAGCTAGCACTATAAAACCAGCTTAAGTCTGGACTAGTACAAGTAGCCGCACATACACATACACACGCATGCACGTCGTCATATGAGCGAAATATTCTCAAGCACGACGTAAAACCCAATTTCACCTCACCTCATACAGACGCAGATATCTCTGTCACGTCATACATACGTAGATATCTCTGTCACGTCATTGTCACACAAATCTGCCACGTCACACTGACCTTTGTCATGCTATTCAGATACACATATCTCTACCACGTCATACAGTTACAGATATCTCTTTCACGTCATACAGATACACATATTAGTGGCACGTCATACAGATACACATATTAGTGGCATGTCATGGAAATACACATATTAGTGGCACGTCATACAGTTACACATATTAGTGGCACGTCATACAGTTACACATATTGGTGTGACGTCATACAGACACACATATCTCTGTCACGTCATACAGATACACATATCACTGTCGCATCATACAGACACACATATTAGTGTCACGTACGCGTCATACGGACAATCATATTAGTGTCACGTCATACAGTTACACATGTTAGTGTCACGTCATACAGATACACATATCACTGTCACGTCATACAGATACACATATCACTGTCACGTCATACAGATACACATATAACTGTCACGTCATACAGATACACATATTAGGGTCACGTCGTACAGACGCACAGATCTGTTAAATCATACACACACGCACGCACACGCGCTTACACGCACACACGTATCTCACATTTATGATTTTCCCATGTTTAATACATCAAACATCAAAGCGGTTATTTGATTGAAATACTGGTTGAAACGGGTCAGATTATAACAATTCATCCCAGCTGGCTTCTGTGTATCCCGGATATAACGAGCCCGTGAATATCCGGGTTCCCACCGTTCATAACACAACACTACCACAAACGAGTGTGTTTATCAACAATCACAAGAAATAATGAAAGCTAAGCTAAAACAATAAGTATAAACATTATACATAGACATGTATAAGTATACTTCCTTTGGTTATCGTTCATGGTGATACCCGTGAAGTTCTGGGTCAGAATTGATCTTCCAGTCAGTAACCCAGGCTTCTCGTAAATGGCGACTAACGGGATCGGGTGGTCAGGCTTGCTGACTTGGTTGACACGTGTCATCGTATCCCAGCTGCGTAGATCGATGCTCATGCTGTTGATCACTGGATTGTCTGGTCAGACTCGATTATTTACAGACCGCCCCCATATAGCTGGAATTTCCCCGCACCCCCTCTCTGGATCCGCCCCTGGGTGCCGTTGTACAAAACAACCTTAGCGCTAAGGTTACCTTAAGTCTATGTTAAGGTATGGGAGTAACGGTCACCTTAGCACAAAGATCGCTTTGTACAACGGCACCCTGAACGATTGAAAACAACGAATACCATGCATAGGGTTTAACATGAAATGGTTATGACTACAGAGAGGAGGAAATAATATTGTACCAAGATCTGGGAAGGACAACCGGAGGAAACAAATGTACCAGGAAGCCATTTAACTGGATGAATGCATTCGGGCGAGATGACTGATAAACAAACAATTGCCTGTTACGGTAGATGTGTATATATCTTCCTGGTTTGTCCTCGGTTACAGTACATGTTATACATTTCACCTTTTGGTTCTTGGGGCTCACATAAAATGAGCAAACCCCGTATATACTTATAGCTCACAGTAAGGACACCTTCTAGCCAGTGAACGTAATTCAAAACCTCTTACCCCTATGCACACCTTCCCATAATTTTTAAGCATAATTTTAAAATATTTTTAAGCACAAAATTACTGACCCCCTAGTACATAAGTACAAAATTGATGACCCCCTTACCTCCCCAGAACAAAATGGGTGCCCCCCATCCCCACCCCTAGAATCATCATCACCCACCCCAGTCATAAATTGTG